GTTGTATTCTCTATTCCCTCCTGAGCTAGTTATTAATTATGGAGACGGCAGAGATGAAGTCCAGACTCTGCTAATGGTTGGCTTACCCGTGTTTTAGAAGCAGCATTTCAGGGATCTGCTAATGGTGTTGTTTTAAGCTCCACTGTCATCTTGGTTTCTAGCCTGAGCGTGGCAGCGAGGCAGATAACAGTGTTTAAATGTTGGCTGAAGCCTGGCTCTCCAGGCAGCCTGCAGCTGCAGGGCGCACATCTACGGCCCCCCGCTCATCTCCCTGGGTTGAAATCTCTCCCCGATCCAGGCACTGCCTGGCCTGGGGATGGCTGCCCTGGCTCTGGGCTGCAGGCACGGCCCCAGGGCGAACTTCAGGCTTTTGGGTATGCAGTTATCCCCGTCCTTCCCGGGACGGTGGGATGGCTGATGCTCTGGCTGTGTGCTTTCTCGGGCGCGTGGAGCCTTTTCGTGCTGGCAGGGAGCACAGAGCAGCCCTACCTGGCAGCATTCAGGCACTGCAGTGACCCTTGCTGGCTGATGCCTCTCAATTTCCTCAAGCTTCGAGAATCGGGGAGCAAATCCACAGTGAGCATTGCGCTCTTGCCCCGGCCCCCAGATATCCTCACAAAGCCACCTCTTTGCTGTTAGCCACCGGCTTCTCTCCCAGCCTGTGTCTCAGCCTCTAAAGCTGCCCGGCCAAACCCCAGTGCTATCTCATCTTTATTCTCCTGGCCTTGTTATTCCTTCCCCCGCTCTCCCAAGGAAGCCCGCAGGAGTGGGTGCTGGGCTCGCTCCTCCTCCCCGTCCCGTCCAGGCTGCAGGCGCTGCTGGCCGGCCTTGGCGCCGGCTCTGTCTGCCCTTTGCTTTCCCTGCCCCGGCTGGCCTGTCACCATTCCCGCAGCACGATCCCCTACTCCCTGCCGCTGCTGCCAGGCTGCCTTCGCTGCTGCCTGCACAGGCTGCCTGCCCCCCCATACAATCCTCTGGGAGATACAGCCCTCCTTCTCCTGTCTTGTTCCCATGCCTCCACCGCTTGGTTGTGTCCGTCCGATGTGGAGAGTTAGCGCTGTGGTTTTTTTCCGCAGACCCTGCCGGCCTGTTCCGTCCCTTCGCCATCGCTTCCAGCCTGCTGCCCATCAGCAGGCAGCCGCGGGGCAGCAAACCTCCGCACAGGGATGCAGGGATGCGGATGCAGGGATATGCAAGGATGCATAGGAAGGAGCCGCTCGCACCCCCCCTCCCCGAGCTTAGCGGTGGCGTTAGGGGGATGGGGAGAGAAAGACTTGGGAAAGTGGAAACAATGAGAGTGTGAAATGTCCTCATTTTGTTTTCTCCAGCTCTGCCTGTTGGTACCCCCCGGGACTTATCCCTGGTATCGTATGCCAACGCTGGCCTGGGAGTCCCTGGTCCCATTTTGCAATCTCCCAGTGTCAGCCAGCAGCTCGGGCCTTCCTGTAAGCGCCCGAACGGTCACGGGGAAGGAATGTTCCCCTGGCCGCGTGGGGAAAGGTCACCACGGGCAAAGGGGACGCGGGGGCGCCGATCAGCACAGAGCTGAAAACATTTTGTCTTACAGGGGAAATGTAAAAAAAAAAAAAAAATGGTTCAAGAGGTTAAATATTTTCAGCAAGGCCCCGCTTCCTTTTGCAGAGCAGATCTCGGAGCAGATGCTGTGCCCAGGCAAAGTCCAGGAGGATGCGTGCGTGTTTCATCGCTTTCTTAGCTGGAGGATGTTTGCTGTTGAATCCGCTCCCAAAAGCATCTGCGTTTCTCGCTAAAGCGGGGCCTGGGACAGCGGTGTCGGCCAGTCACCGCCGCTCTGAATAGCAGTCGGGCTGAGCGATACGTCCGTGTTGCGCTCGCAGCTTGTCGCGCTCTTCCCTTCCTACCCCTGAATGCAACTCGGAAAAAAAGCTGTGACTTGCGGTGGCCGCAGCGGGATTAGCATCCAACATTAAGGGCTTAACTCCCCGGCTCATCCCTGCCAGCCGGGGGTTTCAAGTAACACCACCATGCCTTTTTCTTCCACCCTCGACAATTTGTAGCCTGCTTTAATAATGTCCTTTACACACCATTCTCCGGGCTGCGTTTGCTAAGGTGGAACTTGCTCCTGGTACTTTGTTTTCGGAGTCTGGCCTGTTGGCTGAGGCTCCTGGGGACGCTGGTCACATTTATCAGGGCGGAGCGGAGGAAGGAGGAGGAATTTCTAGGTTGGGCTTATGAACCGAGGTTTTCAAAATTCTCAGCGTGTTAAAAAAAAAAACGAAAATAATAATCTGGCCCTTCGTCTCTAGGTTACGTTTGCCTCTGCTGTGGCTGAGCTCATGGAAAATCGCAGCTTAGCTCCTGTGCTCAGTGCCAAGATTAGTAGGTTTAAAAACTAACCGATAACATCTTTGTAAACTTGGAGTCATTTCTTTAAAGCCTGCTGATCCTTCCAGCCTGGATTTTGGAGCTTTCCTAGAGATCCAAGCGAGCCAGGCAGGAACGATGGTATCTACCCTGAAAAATCGCTGCGTCCCTCAGGAGCGTTGCCTTCAAAATGCCCCGAGGGAGGACGGCGGCTGCTGTTCCCTGAGGCCCCGAAGGGTGTGCGTTGGGATCCTTCTCCCTGTTCCTAACCAGATACACAGCACACGACAATGCTCTGCGTGTAACTTATAATAATCACAGGTTTTATTTTTAAAAAATTACAATAGAAAAGTACCTTTAAACATATTTCCAAAAGCGGAATAGACAATGTGGAAGCTTCTCTCCTCTCCACAAGACAAAAGTACAGGAAATAGTTTGCTAAAAGAGTTAGTCCGACACTTGGAAACGCTGGTATCGTTCCTTTTAGAGCTGCTCAGAGGTTTGTTTTGGAATTGATTTCTTCTCACGTCGCCTTTATCAATCCCACTTTTTACACAAGACCCCAACGGGACAGTTTCCCATCGCACCATCTCACCGCCCGTCCCGCCCCGGCTTCGGCAGCCGAAATCTCAGCCGTCTTATTTTGGCCCACCCACAGAATAAAAAGAAGGAGGAAGAAAAAGGTTATGATGTTTAACAAGGCCACGGGCCGCAGGTGCCCTGCGTCTTCAGCGCAGCTGGGAAACCAGCTACGGCGAAGCCCGGGCAGCGGCTGAGCTCGGTGTACTCTGCAACAGGGATGGGGCAGGGGGGAAAGGCAACGAAAGGAGAAGTTTCGCGCCTCCTTTTGCAAGAAACTGAACTTGTCTGAGGTTTTGGGTTGGTTTGCTTTGCTCTTGGCTTTTTCTAAATTCTTCCTGGAGCAAGGAGAGACTAGCATGTCAAACGGTCTCTGCTGGTACGCTATCTCTGTAAAGGTTACAGATGCTGCCCCAAGGGTGTTAGCAGCCTCCCTTCTTGTCTTTGCACGTGGACACATGGAAATGCTACACAGCGAGCCGACGGACCGGCGTGACCTCGACGCTAAAACCCCAGCTCAGCCCAGCACTTGGGCCTAACGGTAGGCACGTGTCTAAGCCCCTCAGCTCACTCGGGACTCGCACCCAACCTCGAGTAAGCTGGCGAACCGAGGGTTTGTTGGGTTTTTTTTCTCATACAGCAGTTTACGTTGCCCGTAACAACTTCAAGCAGTCATGGCAGGAGGAGAAGGAGGAGGCAAATTGTCACCTTGCTACATATGCGGGCTGTCTCTGCCCATCCCTGATCCGAGCCGTTGTACCATGCCGAAGCTTCGCACAGCAAGCTATTAACATAGCCCTAAGGTAAAAAAAATCACCATAAGAAAGTTTCTGATTGTCCTGCCTGGTTGTCATTTGGTACAACTGGGAAGAAAACGGTAATACTGTAAGTGTCCGCAGACGTCTTGCCGACACAGCCGGAGCACAATTCCTGTGCCGGAGGGAGCGCACGTGCCTACAAACCCGAATCGTGCGTCTCGACACCTGCACGCACGTGAACATCATGCCTTCGACATGCAGCTGACGGGGCGGGGGGGATAGAGACTCTTAATTACACGCATTCGAAAGTCAAGCACAAAACCTGTGGTCCGACCCAGTGTAAGATTGTCCTATATAGGAGGTTTGGTACAAAAATACTTGCTCTCGTTTTGCTTTTTTTGTAGTCTGCTTTCCTATGGTTCTGTTTGAAAAGGCTTTTCAAACACTACAGCGATGCCTGTCAAACCATGCTTTCAGAAGTAACACACTCTTTCTTACAAATATACAGTGTCAA